GGGGGGGGGTGTAATTGATGAAGTGTCTCCCCCTCAGGTTGCGTGATACCATAGACTTCAGCGTGTGCCTCATTTGCCCATGTTTGTCCCTCTCTCTGTCTTTCTCTCTCTCTCTTCCTGCCTGTATGACGTCATACTGCTGTTGCTGCAGCTGGCACAGGTGGTGTCTTTCGGTACACCGCGTGGGTGCTCGTTTTCTTTTGCCTTTTGCTCCTGTTGCCCATCTCTGTTGTTGTTGTTGTTGTCGCCGCTCCCGCCGCGCTGAGGGCGTAGCAAAAAGGGGGAGCAGAAGCGTGGGACGGTGTAGCTGTGGACAAGATGCCAGAGACCCCGACGGCTGCTACGAGTGGCGGCGACGCTGGTGGTGGGAAGAGCGCATCGCTGCTGCTCNTGGACAAGATGCCAGAGACCCCGACGGCTGCTACGAGTGGCGGCGACGCTGGTGGTGGGAAGAGCGCATCGCTGCTGCTCAAGGAGCAGGAGCAGTTCGTCTTTGACTTCGGGGGCGCCGCCGCGGCGCAGGACGGCAGCCGCGCCTCCTCCGCCGCTTCGCAGGAACGCAACAGCGCCAATGACGACGAGGACGGGAGGGAGCGCCACAATGACGCGGATGCGGCTGCGCGAGTGCAGGGAAGGCCCGCCGTGCCTCCGCTAACTGCCACAGAGGTGCAGCAGAGCTTTACCACCGCTTTAGACGCTGGTGACAAGGTCTTCGTGAAGCTGCCGCTCGACGTGGCAGTGGAGCAGTTCCAGTTAGGCCTTCGGCGCTATGAGGAGGCGTTGTGCCGACAGGCGAAGCAGAAGAAGTTGAAGCAGAATCCAAATCCAAAACATAAGCAGCAGCCACAACAGCCGCCACGTGGGCCAGCGACGAAGCAGCGGGATGAGCAACGCCCGGAAAGGCAGCAGCATAGCAGCAACGTGGGAAAAAAGCGCAAGCGGTCCTGACGTCTGGACTGCAAGCAACACTCTCAAATAAAGCGGATTAAAACATGCACCACCCACCGACCCACCCACACATGCCGCTGTTAACTGTGGTGTGACAAGGGGGTTCCGGACGAACACAGAGGGTGGGGCCTCTATCATCCTGGTGTCAAACATCGTCTGTGGTGTGGCTAAAAGTCGATCAGATGCTATGCCTTTCTTTTTTTCTATCTTCATTTATCTTTCTCCTGTTTTTTTTT